AAGGGGGGGAGATATATAGAGAGAGAAAAGGGGAGGGAGAGAGAGAGAGAAGGGGGAGATAGGGAGAAGGGGGGAGAGAGAGGGAAGCGGGGAGAGAGAGGGAAGGGGGGAGAAAGAGAGAGAAATGAATTTCAGCACAAATCTCACTTTCCTGTGCAAACATTTGTATAACATGTTTAGAAAGCAATGTATGAAGATCCCAGTTGTCAAATGCTTTGTTGTACAAGGCACAGAAACATTGTGAGAAATGAAACAACTCCAGGGGTCAGAGAGTTTGTAGCAGTTTCCATAAACTGAGGAAAGTAAAGAGAGAAAAGGAGAAATGCAGAAAAAGGATTGAAGATGACTGTATTGAAAGGAGAAGGAAAGAACGAGAGGAGACAAGAGTGCTCCACCCTGGACATAGCTGATATCAGGAACCTTTGATTCTTCAGATTGTGATTTAGGCCCCATTCACACCAGATCCCTTGTGTTGTGTTACGATCCATTATTAAACAGATACTAACGCAAGGGCAGCAAAAAATAAATGGTTGTGAATAAGTCCAGTTTACAGCGCTGCAATCCGTTCTGTTCCGTTGCAGTGCAATAAGAAAAAAACATAAAACATGCTCTTCATTATTTCAGTGCAACATAACGGAACAAATATTGTGTAATCGCATCGCAATGCAGTGGAAGTAAAAAACAAAAACAAAACATAGATGTTTGTTCACTATGTTGATTAAAATAAAGATTGGCAAAAAAGAGAGAGAAGAGAATGGAATGGAGGACGACCCTGTGTTGACTTGTGCTTGTTTGTCGGAGAACAATTTTCCATCTTGCGCCTTCAAATTTTTTTTTACCCACCACTGCGGTCAGAAATGATCATTGATTTTACCCCACAAACTACCAGAAAATGGAATGAACAATACAAAAACAATTTTTATAGAATGTAATTCTACAGTGTATGGCCAGATTTAGAGATGCCCCCCCTGCCCGGGGTGTTGTATTCTGACAGTGGTGGGTGCACCCTTTTCTGTATACCTGACAGTGGTGGGTGCACCCTTTTCTGTATACCTGACAGTGGTGGATGCACGCTTTTCTGTATACCTGACAGTGGTGGGTGCACGCTTTTCTGAATACCTG